AATAGTTTACTTAATAAAATATTTTTTAATTTTCAAAAGAAAATAATTGTGACACAAAAATCATATGAAAATTGATCAACATGCCCCCTACCCTTAATTTACTCGCAATTGATTTAACATACTATCAGAACGTTCAACTCTATTATTAATCAGTTTTTACAATAGTCAAATATACAGACCGAATAAAACTGATAACATCCTATGGGAACACAAGACGAATACGTGTGACACTGATATGATACAACTAATATAAAATTATGGATTTGGTGCATTTTGTTTAACTACATAATTTCCGTGCTATATTTACCATAAAAGTAAATAGATTCATTTATTATAAACTGACATTTGGTGGTTTCGTACCTATTATTTATTTTTCATGTTTGGGTTATTAATTACTGTTAGAATTAGTGTTTGGAAAAGGGGTTTGAGGCACCTTTGATAAGAATAAATAAATTTTATCAAGGTAAAACAGAGCAAAACAAACCCTAAAATTACCGAGACTATCCAGTATATATATATATAAACCAAATGGGCAAATTATTAGTAAATTATTTAAATCGGGTGAATCTCTTCTAAATTATGATTCTACAAAAACATATCAATGCCGCCGTTAATAACATTTAATTTGTTATGTATTTTTCTGAATATCATTTCTCTCATTTCTTCTGTTGCCTCATGCGTGATATTTGGCTTCATACGAATATACTATCCTAAACTTGCAGATCGTGTTTCATTTCGTTTAAGTTTTGCTGCCTTATTCTGTGATATAGGCTATTCTGGACATGTTTTAATTAATCTTGTTTGGGTTACTATTCCCAGTTTTTTGTGTGGATACTTGGTAAGATATCATTAGCTTTCTTTTTCGATATCGATAGTTTCTTTTTGATGTCTAATAGCTTCTCTTTGATTTTCTTAAATATTTTCTCAATATTAAGGCTTGGGCAATCGTATTTTTTGCTCTTGCTTCTATATTTTTTATCGATTGTATAGCTTTGGTATGTATTATAATTATATTTTACTGTGTTCTTCGTATATATTTATTTTCATTTGCATTTTTATTTTTATTTTAGAACCTTCATATAGTATTCGTAAATGAATATAAAAGACATAATTTTGAAAATTATTATTTTATAATTGCATTTTCTTTTGCTCTTTTACTCTCTCTCCTTCCTGTTGCCGATAATATGTATGGTCATAATGATGTTGTTGGGTATGTATAGTATATTCTATTATATATATAGATGTGCATATATACGTACTGTACGTACGTACTGTACGTACGTTCGTACAGTACCTATATCTGATATATATTCATTTTTCTAGGGTCTGCAACCGAGCACGTGCCTACGCGCAACAACAAAAGTACAGGCATTGCACGGCATAGGCATCACTAGTATATGTTGTTTATTACATAACTATAAATTTTTTCGGTTGTGTCTGACACTTTATACTTGACATTTTATGCCAATACTCTTAATTAGAGATGGGCAATTGCACGTGCGGTATGCAAAACATGCTATTAATTCTGGCCAGCATTAAGAAAATAAATCATAATTTTGACCAAAATATGCATGCTAAAATGTGAATTTTATATTTGTCCCATCTTTACTTCTTAATAATGTTTACACTTTTTGCCATGCTTTGGCCTGATGTATCTTATTTCATATATTCATATTTTATTAATATTTATTACAGTGGTTGTTGGTATCGTTTTCCTGGTCAAAAAAAGAATATAATATGGGAATGGATTACTTTTTTCGGTTGGGTGGATGTATCTATATTGTATTGTGTGATCGTTATTATTATGGTCGTTAGAAAACTCAAATTATTGGCAAAACAAACCGATGTTTTTGACTTTTCTTCGGATTCTCGGTTACCTAGTCATCCCTCTTTAATTAATAAGGCTGTGATTTTATCAGTTGTCAGAAAAGTCGTGCTGTATCCTGTGGTGCCGGTAGCTCAAATTTTTTGCTCTTTCAATGAAACTTGCTTTTATGTTAGTCATGCGTCCCCTTATCCAATAATGATAGGTTGCTTTGTTGGCATGTCACTTCAAGGTATGTGTATTTTATTTTTATTTTTTATTATTTGAACATTCATTGATTATTGGTTTTATCTATTGCACTTTAGGATTTCTGAATGCTTTAGTATTTTCACAAGATATTGCAGTTGCTCGTATTTTCCAGGCTGTTAAACTACAATGGTGGAACTCCAATGTTAACTCTTATGAGTCTCTTTATCCTCATCGATCTCACAACAAAGCCATTGCAGATAATTTCAGCGCACTAGGAAAATCCAATGATTTTGATGAATTGAACACTCTAAATTGTAATAATGCTGATATCATTAAAAGTGATGTTATTAATAAAAATAATAATAACATCGATAATAGAGCTAATGACAATAATAGCATAGTTTTACAACCTTCTTTCTTAGAATGGTTAAGATACATGCTATTAATTAAACTTTTCTCTCCTCCAAAAAGTTCGATTAATACTTTTGTTGACAATGAGTCTAATACCTCTACTGTTCTGGTTGGAAAGGACGATTCAAAGCAGGATATAATTCTTGATAATCAAAATGATGATCAAGATATTCATTTAACTCTTTTTAGACCTGTTCATTTAAGAGAATCTTTTAAATATTCTTCATCATCTCATTCATCTCGTTACTTAAGTCCATCAATTTCATCTGATCCCTTAATAGGTAGTTCTCAAACTAATCAGACTAATATAAATAATATGAATAAGACAAATGTAGTAGATATATTAAACTGTGCGGTTGACGGTGATGAAGGACGTAAAGAAGTTGAAATAATGTTAAAAAGACTTTAAAAATTGTTATCAATTTCTTTCAACTTATTCTAAAAAAAAATTTTATTCGTATAACATAAACAAATTTATGACATGATTTCCTATGTAGTGTAAAGGTTGTGTAGTTGTAATATAACTTTGATTTGTTATATTTCTTTGATTTATTTTATTTTATTATTTGTATTATTTATTTTATAGAATCGATCAATTAAAAGGATAAAATGATTCAAAATAATAGATAAATAAAGCGCCATAAGCGCATCTTATATATTAAGGTAAATTCAAAAAAAAAAAAAAAGAATAGATAGAACAAATAGTATCGATTTCAGTATATGTAATTGAAAAGTATATAAACGACCAAGTCTTACCTTCAACGAAGCAGAACTCGTTAGAGTTCAACACTGCCTCATATAAGTATTTTGAAAAAAGCCAGCGTCGCGAATAATTGAAGGGCAGTCACATAACTTTCTGATCCTGATTTTTACGTGATTGTAAGAGTCATCCTTTCGCAGGTGCCGAATAACACTTTCCTATGGTGACAGTGCCGAATATTCTATTTACCTAACAGGTTTTTACTTATTTTTATTCATTCAATTACATCATATATGCATGATTGCATTTGCACGTGCAGTAAATGACATGATTAGATCAATATTTTTTATAGAAAAAAATTCGCACAATAATAAGCAGCAAAGCATGGTTCTACCAAAAATAATGAAAGAAAAATTCTTGAAAATAACACAATACCGACAAGGTTAGCCAGCATTAGTTATAATACTGCTAATTTAGTTGGTATTATGTTCTTTCAGGAAAATTACCTTCGGGATTTCAGGCTAGAAATTGTGAGTTACCGTAAGAATTCTGTTACTGAACTTGCTCATTATTCCGATGATGGTATGTGATTAAAATTGAGTCAGTTTTCATTGGAATTATTATGATCTCCTGATCTCTACCGTAAAGTATTATAAAAAAATTATGATATGGAATTTGATTGTGCTTTACGGTTCTATCCTGTAATCCTGAAAGCCATTTTTCTGAAGGAACATAATACTGACTAAATTAGCAGCATTATAACCAGTGCTGGCTAACTTTATCAGTATTATATTCTTTTCAAGAATTTGTCTTTCGGTAGAACCATTTTCGACTTTACAGCAACTCATAGAAAACTAGCTTATCCTTCATACATGCAGGTATCACTGAAATAGCGAGTAAGTTCAGTAATGAAATTTTTTTGGTAGAATCATAATAATTCCAATGCAAATTATTATTCTTAACCAAATATTGTGCATTATCAGAATGAAGTATGTTTTGCACTGGATTTTTTAAAGTAGCAAGTAATAAAAATTATAACAATTTCTTGACCACATGCTAGCGTAAATTCAGTAATAAAATTTTTCAAGCAACCTATAATAGAAATCATGATTTTTTAAAAATAGAAATCATGAATAGCAAGTAAGTTTTGCAACAGGATTTTTTTATAACAACTCAATAGAAATTATAATTCCGATGCAAACTAACTCAATCATAACCACTTACTGTAACAGAATTTTTTATAGTAGTACACAATAAAAATTATAATAATACTAATGCAAATTGACGACTTTAATCAAATACTGTGTGTCACCAGAATAATGAGCAAGGGATTTTCTATAGTATGGGTGGGCAATGTAGAAATATTATAAGATTATATATACTGTATAAAATATTATACGCTATTACTATGTTGCTTTTGCCATATATAACTGCTACGAAATCTAACGAACTAGATAGCTGCGTGACGTCATCGCGCAAGAAGGTATTATAAATTTGCGCATAATTATGTGATAGCATGTGACATTGTTTTAATTTAGAATTAAACGTAATAGGTTGCATAATAATACATCTACCACATAATGCTGCAATGGTTGTAACTGATCCAAATTGAATTGGCTAATATTTGAAAATCTACTTAGCTAACTAATTCAAAATTGAATACTTGTAGTTTGGAATAGTAATTTTTTTTAGCACTTACATTTATTTTTTTGTGATTGTTTAGTTATTAAACTATCCAAATTTTTAATACCAAGGTATAAATTAGGCTATATAAAGTTAATTTTTTGGTTCTCATAACATAAAACACAAAAAAAAAAAAGACCCGCTCGCCCGGACTTTTATTTAAAATTTTTTAATTATAAAATTAAAGTTTTTTTTATAAAGCTATGACCCAGAAATGCATAATAGAATTTGGTCAAATCCATAACGATAATGATAAGAATTCCTGTTTATTTTGGGCTAAGCTAGTTTTATATATATATCGTTAAAGTTATGAAGGTGCAACTTTAGATATAAAGTTTCACCTAACCAGAATTATATATATGAAGATCTAATTTCAGGGGCTTGATTTTAGTCAGGCCAACTTTATGAATCTAAAGTTGAACTTCAGATAGATGGTAACTTTAGATACCGTATAGCCGCGTAATAACGCTCACGGGCGTTATTTTGAAAATCGGGTCCCCCAAAAATAGCATATGTGATTTCAAATTAACGCCCATGGGCGTCCCGAATTAACGCGCACCCTTACACTAAAAATTATATATTATGCATATAACAGTACAATATGACTTAAAATCACAAACTAAATACGTACCCAGTACGTACCCGGGTATCTATACATTAAAATTTTTCTATTTTAACTACCATTCGCTCTTTTAAGATTTAATTAAACTTATAGCTACCATATATGGGAACCTCCGCAGCAAAAGGTGGCAATGAGCCAAAAAAATTTTTTTTAAAAAAATGCAATTTCTTGAAGAATTAGAGTAATAGGCATATTATTTTTACAAAATTACAAAATAAAATTTTTGGCCCATTGCCACCTTTTGCTATGGAGGTCCCCATATGTAATGTTAGGAGATTTCAAAGTTATTTTTCTGATTTATAATTCATTATAGTAAAAATACTATTGAAAAAATCCTATTTATTTTCAAAATGCATCACTTATTTGTTAACTTTGAAACCTCTATTGTTGTGATTTTTGTTCTCAAGAATGTATTGCATAATGTTATAGTTAGAATATAGAAATAAGTACTTAAATATCATAAATATAAATGTTGTTCTTTTAGAGGTATTTTATTATAAATCAAGCATCAAACCTTTGAATAAGCAACCGTAACTAGAATGTCGAATTATATATAGCTCTTATGCACAAGAAAGTCCTAGAGATTCTAACAACGATCATCAGTAACAAACGTTGAAAATTAATTACCGGTAAAAAAAACTTTAACCCAAACTTCGGCAATAAATGTATGCTTTATATTCAATTCCAAATCTCAATTTTTGATGATAAATGAGCGCCATATTTTAAGCATGTACCAGTATACAAGTTTATTTATATTATCTCAGTTTGCGACACTCTTATTGTTCAGTCCCAACTTTACTTACATTTAATAAACTGTTAAATGAATATGCAACAGAAAAATCAAAGAAAAAAAAAATCAAAGAAAAGAAAAAGAAAAATTATCTAAATTTTTTTTTTTTTTAAAAAAAAAAAAAAGTAAGAGAAAAGAAAAAGAAATTATCTAAATTTTTATTTTTTTTTAAAAAAAAAAAAGCATTGCACTATTGCCTATTTTCGTACGACAGACTATCAATAAATGGAAGTAAAGTCTAATTTTGTTTTATGCTTTTTTTTTCTTTCTAATAATCTAGTATTTAGTAATTTCTATTACCTTATCAATTATTCAATGTTCATCATATCTACAGAGTCATCATCTGTCGCACTTTCACTGTAAAGTTCATCACCAAATTCATCGTCAGGATTTGATTCATTATCTACATCATCCTGATTTGATAATTCATTATCTTCTTCCACGGAAAAACACACCTCATTCATATGATTTGCAATAATAGCTCGAAGATGGCCTGTCATCTTGTCATTTTCACTGCCATTAGGGTTAAGCGTAAGCCCGGCTGCTTCAAAAGATCTAGCCAAAAGATCTGTACTGATTTCCCTCCACGTTTCAGATACCCATTCACATACCAATTCGTATGATGCTCTTTTGCGGTTTCCTTTTTTAGTAAACCCACCTTTCCCTTCGTCCATCTATTTTTCCCACCTTCGCGTCATACCATTTTTAAATGGCTTGTTTACTGATACATCGGGCAGTTGTGAGACACAAGTAGTTCCACCAGGTATCTCTAGAACATCTAACCCTTCCTAAACAAAAAAATATTATCCTTATAAATCTAGTAATTTAAATTAGAATTGATCTTATATATTCTAAAATCTATAAGTTCAATTATTGTCTTTTTTATTTTAAAAAACAAAATTATAACCTACTATCTTTAATGCTTTAACTACATCATTATTGAACATGACTGTGGTGGCGATCAACAAAGATTATACCTTTACTTTTAAAGAACCCATTCGGTCTGGCCCGAATAACTTGTGGAATATAAGTCGAGATCATCAAATCTCCTATCATATTTGCACAAGGTGCCATGGTCACCACAACGTCTTGTGGAAACTTGCCCTTTTGTTTTTTTTTTAATTTGAAAATTATAGCAGGCGGAAGTTTTTCTCCAGATGCAGTATAACCCAGGACTACTGTAAAACATAATTTTTCATTCCCTATAGTTTTAATTAGAACTTCACGAATGCTTTCAAAATCGATTGTTGTATTTTGGGGCATGTCAAACTACATTGGTATCTCATCAAAAGAGATAATAAATTTTTTTTCAATGTCCTTTGTTTTTTCATGTGAAGTTTGAAGGAATTCTTTAACAACTAAAGGTATATCTTCTGGAAGTTTTTGTACATGTTGTGTCCGAACGCGTTCTACCAATTTATTTTGTCGCATGAAATGTTTAACCCAACCAGAGGAGAACTTTGCATCTTGAATATCTAAAGTCTTCCCTAATTTTCTCACCTTTCTTCCAATCATAGAAGCAGTAACTGTCATCCTTTCTGCCCATTTTATTTGAACATAATTTAATAATTCTTTTTCAACTGTGGGGTATATAGCTTTTTGACCACGGCCAGGAAGAGTTCACACCTTATCAACACATAAATTTTGATCATTTTTGATTGCCTCAAATTCTTTTTTTTGCTTTCTCCATTCTTTAACACATTTTTGATCGACTTGATAGAACAAGGACGCCTTATGGTTAGAAGTTTCTTCAGTGTATGATATTATGTCAAGCTTAAATGAAATAGTATAGCTTTTTTTATTTCCCATGTTTGCAGGTAAAATTTAAACACGAAGCAAAAAAAAGATCACATTTATTTAAATAGTACTAGGGCCAGGGCATTATTTTAATGGTGGTTTCGTGACACATAAAGATTAAAGAAAAAAAAATTATCAAAGAAAAAAAAAGATCCAAAAGATCAAAAAAAATAAAAAATAAAAAAAAAATAACCAATGAGCCATTGAAGCCATATAAAATGGCCCCAGAGCCGATGTCCTGCTCAAGAAGGTTAATTGTTATGTCACAGTAAAAGTGTCTTGCAAATAGCAGAATAGTTCAACTAGAATTAACTTAAATGTTCATTTTAATGGCAGTTTCATGACACAAAGATCAGATCCAAAAGATCAAAAAAAAAAAATTAACCAACGAGCCATTGAAGCCATATAAAATGGCCCCAGAGCCGATGTCCTGCTCAAGAAGGTTAATTGTTGCAGTGAAAGTGTCTTAAACTGCAAAAAGTCCAACCAGTATTAATTTAAATGTTTTTATTTTATTTTATTTTATTTTATTTCAATGAAAAGAAATATATAAATTGATGCTATTAAGGAAAGTAATTTTTTTTCTTTAATCGATAAGAAAAAAATTAGGATTATTTATAATGTTCCATGTTCGTAATAAACTTTGTAATTCAAAGGACTGTAGGGGAAAAAAAAAAAAAAAAAAAAAAAAAAAAAGTCCAGAAAAATCCGGCAAATCAAAAAAAAAATTAGAATAGCTTGGTTTTTTAATCAAGGCTATTTATATTATCCCCCAAAACGCCAAACCAAGAATTATTCAAAGCTTTGTTTTATAAGGTGAATTGTATAACCAGTTTAACTTAATAAAACAACATACGGTCAACTTTCGATATATCGACATGGTCGGTATATCGAGAGTATGGTTAATATATACAAATTTGGTTAAATTAAATGCAGATCACCCAAATTTAAAAAAAGTACGATATATCGAGAGTCACATGAATTCTGCACTAAATACGTAAATAGTTAAATTAATATAAGTATCAGATGATTTGTGAGAGTGTCGATATATCGAGAGTCGGAATATCGAGAGTGATTAAAAGTTGATAAAATCTTTACAATATTTATCTTTAAAATTTATTCTTTCATTCATACAGATTTTTTTTATTAAATAATTGATATCACTTATACTATGAAAAAAAAATGTCAATAATAATAATGCTTTTTAATATTATTTCATAAAGACTAATTACATGGCAGATGTAAATAAATTATAGTTAACAAGTTTTCAAAGTGCTAGTCGCAAGATAAATATCAAAATTGAGTTTAGTTTTTGTTGCTAGTATTTTGAAGGGCATTTTGGCAAATTATATAGTATGTAAGATATTATAAACTATTATTCTTTTTTGAATTACTGTATAGATATACATAATGTATTAATAAATGCTGAAGAAAGGAACCTTTGATTTTATTAAATATTTTACTTCCGAATAGCCCAGAAATACTATTTAAATACTCATATTACACTATATTGATTTAATATCAAATTTTGTAAATAGGAATAATTAGAGATAGTACCTGTATAAAAGTTACCCAGGTGACCCATATAAAATAGCTAACCGGATCATGGTTTTTGCTACCTGGGCGACCTGGATTAATAAACCCATATGAAACACGCGTAATTAATTTATACTTATTTCATGTTACATTTATTTCATGTTGATAAATCTCACTAGACAAGAAATCTACTATACAGTAAATATTAAATTGCCAGAAACAAACAACTAAAGAGGTTTATTAAAGATGCTCAATGTAGTTTCTTAGCAGAAACCTTTAAATTTTGCTAAATATGTTTATCATATAATAGTTACGATATAACTAAAGTTATTAGATGATAAAATATATATTAAAAACATTATTATCATATTTTAAAAGTTACTATTAACATGATTTTTTTTTTTTTTTTTTTTTTTTTTTTTTTTTATATTGCCAAACGTAGAAACTTTATTAGTCATGATTCACACCTTTTTA